TTTAAAAGGTGACCCTGGAAGTCTGAGAAACTTGGCAAAGCTCAGGTCTTATTTTTCATTAACTTTGTTTTGGAATAATTCTACATTCACAGGAAGCTACAAAGACACTCAGCTTTGATGCATCATATATAAAACACGGCTCAAGCTGCGACTACAATCTAGGTTCCAGTCAGTGCTTTCAGACCCGCCGATCTCATCCCTTCAGAGCCCCGCCCTAAGCCTTGGCCACGCCCTAGCCACACCCCCTGGGCCGTTTGATGACAGAATTCTGGGAACTCCCGCTAGTAAAGTGGCTTGATCTGCACTGGGTCCTCAGCACAGGTCAATTAAAAATCTGAGTTTCTGGTGTTTAGTGAAGCGTAATAGAACACTTGGACTCAACTCCTCACAAAAATATCTGGAAGCAGGAGAAACTTTGGCAAGGGTTACAAATTAAAACAGTATATATGTATGTGCATGTGTATATGGGTGTTATTTACAACAGTAAAGCTAACATTTGCTGAGAATTTACTATGTCCCAAGCACAATGCCAAGTGTTTTGTGTGCACTATCCCAGTTTATCGGTACAGCAACCCTTTCAGGTAGGAACTATTACATCATTATTTTATAGATGAAACAGAGGAACAAAGAGGTTAAGTGACTTGCCCAGGGTCACACAGCTATTACGCAGAAGAACTGTAATCAAAATTCAGGTCAACCTGGTTTTAGAGCCCAAGCTTTCACTCGCCTCTCTCTGCCTGTCTCAGAGGAACTTGAGAAGGATGTACCTGCCTTGGGGTCAACGCTCAAGATCATGCTAGCTCCGGAGCTGGCCCTGCCCCAGAGGGACTGACTTTTCCCTCCTTGCTCTGATGGATGGGGATAGCGGGCAGGAGTGAAGGTGTGAAGGGGTGAAGCCAGAGGAGTCACCCCCAGGCAGAAGGGAGGCTGGAGGAGAGGTGAGAACACGTACCTCGGAAGCAGAAGGCATGATGCCGGGACAGTGGGTCTGGGAGGCCTGTCTGGTTGGGGTAAAGGTAGACCGTTCTCACGCCTGGCTTGTCTCCGCCACAGGAGGGCCTCGGGGTGACGATGGGGTAGCGGAGGCTGCCGTCGGACAGCCAGCCAGCATAGCACTTGTCCAGGCCCCGGCTCCAGGCGGCGTAGAGCTGGCCCGTGGAGGCCAGTGTGGCGTTGTGGGATTCACAGAATGCCAGGGCCTCCTCGAAGGTGAACTGCTCCGGGCGTGTGACAAAGAACACCTCCCCTGGGGGCAGACGCAGGTGCAGGTGTGACCCTCATGTCCACAGCCAGAGCAGCCTCAGCTCACCCAGGGGCCGGGGCAAGAGAATTGAAGCCAGCTGGTCACTCTACATGGAAACAGCCTCCCTCCTTCTCTGTTTTCTAGACTGCCCGTCACACTTGGGCACCCCCCGCCTCTGCTAAGAGAGGCATTCCCTTGGGCACCTTCCCTCCGACCCCCCTGTGCTCCCTACACCACAGCACTTAAGCATGGAGCACCCGAATGCTGTGGACCTGCAACCCCCACCCCCACCCTGGGGGCTCCTCGAGGGGAGGGGTGGGTCCTGTAGCCACTCTTGGGGTTTCGGTCCCTGCACCCAGAACTGTACCCAGCTGCTCGTCTGAATTGGGGGGAGGAGGTTCACATTTAGTGGACACCTACTGTACCGGGCCCTTCTCATACATATCTCATTTAATACTCACAGAAATCTCTGATATGAGGCACAATCAGCCCTATTTTATAGATGAGGAAACCGAGGCCCAGAAAGGTTAAGTAACCTGCCCCAGGTCCCCAAAACACGTGAGTGGCTATACCAAAATCTTTCCAGAATAATGCCAGCATTTCCAAAATTGGGTTCTATGCGATAGTAATTTGATGATTATAATTGAAACGAAAAGACGTGAAACGCAACAAAATAAAATGTCTGTGGTTGACTAAGCTTGGGCACTTGGCTAAGCAAAGTTAAAGAGGTTTTTCTATTGCAGGACTTCTCAGAGGCTTTCATTTGTTCCAGGGCACTGGGATTCTCCGAGAGGCGGATGGTGGAGACCTCGCCTGCAATCCTGGGGGACCCACATGAACCATTCCGGAGGGAGAGAAGGAGCTTGGCCCGAGAGAGGGGCTGGGCCGGCCTTTCTGCCCCTGGGTGGGAAGAGAGCTGGGGGGATGGTAATTCCCCCTCCTCTTTGTGTCTCTCCACCAGCCCCCTGCCTGGCTGGGGCCCCAAATGCGAGAATGTGGCTTGTACCCTCGAGCCTGTCCACGTAGCAGTAGACATCATAAGTTTCGGACGGTGGCCGGATGCCGTAGGTCCTGACTCCCGGGCTGCTGTCTTTATCACCCACACATGGGGTTCGTGGGCTCACGATGGGGTATCTGCAAAGGAGGGCAGGAGGGGCACCTGAAAGCCTATTCCAGGGGCCGGGAGAGGCAGGGCCCGGGGTGAGGCTGGCAGGCCTCTTGGGACTCTGGCAGGGTGCACTGTCAGTGACAGCAGTCCCCTTATGTGGCAAGCTCCCCGTGTGGCTGAGGAAAGGGTCTGGAGGCCCCTGGGGGGATTTCTGGCTTCAGAAGAGAGCCGGTTGTATAGAAGGGCATTGGGTCAAGCTGGAGGGGACCCGGGCGGGGGGGCCTTGAGGAGAGATTCTCCCTCCCTGTTCCTTGGGGGTAAATGACCAAGGACTTAATGTCACCTGGGGCCCTTCGCCACCGACTCAGGATAATATGCCTTGGTTCTGGGGGAGAAATTAGGGGAGCGGCCATGGAGTCATGAATTCATTCATTATTGCACAGTGTATTGGGTGCCCACTGTGCACTGGGTGCCGTGACAGGTTCTGGCTCCCCAAGCCCGACCCCTCACGGTTCTGGGCTGGAAGCGGGGCTGGGCTCATCCCTCACCTGACAGTCTGGTCTTGCAGCCAGCCAGCATCACACTGCTCGTAGCCTGCTTCATAGGCGGCCTGGAGCTGCTCCGGGGAGGCGATCACTGCCCCGGTGCGCAGGCAGGCCTGCTGAGCCTCCGCAAACGTCAGGGCGTAGCGGGCAGAGCCTGGCCGGTAGTGGAACACAACCCCTGGGTGGGGAGGGGAGGGAGAGAAGGAGAGACGAGGTAGGCTCAGGGCAGGGACTAGATACCAGCATGCTGGTGCCCATGGGGCGGGTCCTCATGGCTTTGAGGGCGTGGAGGGAGCTCTGGCTCCTTGAGGAGTGACTTCCCTTCACCCCCTCTTTCCTTTCCTGCTTCTGATCCTCTTCTCAACCAAGCTGGTTCCCTCTGCTTGTTCAAGCTGCTCCTGAACTCCATCTCCCTGAGAAAGCCTTTGATGACTCTTCTGCCCTGGGTGTCCCCAACCTTCCTCTTTGGGCCCCTCACTCCCAGACTGCTCATTTGTCCCTTTACCCTTTAAAACAAACGCATTTTTTTATCATGACAAAAAGAATACACGTTCATTAAGAACATTCGGAAAATACAGAAAAGGCTAAGGAATACATCAACCATTAGCATCTCTTCCACTTGGCCCAGGGGCCGGGGGGTGGGCGGCCTCTCTGAAAGTGGCTGTGAGAGTTTTTGTGGGTGTGCACCGGGCACATTCTGGGGAGTGTCCTCATGGCTTTGGCCAGGTGCCCAAAGGGGCCCTGTCCTTGAGCCCCCCATTTACTCAGCCTTTCCTGTTGTATCCAGCCGCACACACATTTGCTTTTGACACTTCCCTGGGTGATCGGCCAGGTTATATCACAACTGCAAATCCCACATCCTCTGTCCTGTGGCAGGTGCCCATCCGTCCATTGGCGCCTTCTCACATGGTGGCCAGTGGGGCTCTTCCCAGTCCCGGGCCAACCCTCAGACCCGGCCATTGCTGGCGTTACCCCCAGAACTTCCAAACAATTTCTCCTTCCCAACATATTGTATTTCTCTGGGCAATTCAGGCTGAAATCCTGCTTGGTGGCATCATGTGTGTGATGGTGGAAGACAGTGACTATTTGCTCTTCCCCCAGGAGGGGACCCCACCAAGGCCCTTAGGAAAGCCACCCCAGAATGTCCTTCTGGTTCTTGGATTGGAGTATGGGGAACAGCTGAGCTCTATGTGACATGACATCCAAAGTCTCCAGACATTCCTTAAACACCTGGAACACCATCATCCTAGATCAGGGGTTGGCTGACATTTTCTGGAAAGGGCCAGACAGGACACATTTCACTCTTCATGGCTTCAATGGTTTCTGTCACAACTACTCAACTCTGCCATGACAGTCCTAAATTAGCCACAGACATCACGTGGACAAATAGGTGTGGCTTTGGTCCAATCAAACGTTATTTGTGGACATTAAATCTTGAATGCTATATAATTTTCGTTATACATCACAGAATATTAGAGTATTATTCTTATTTTGACTTTGTGCCCCGACTATCTAAAACTGTAAAACTATCCTTAGTTTGTGGGCCTTATAAAAATAGGTGGCGGGGCGCCTGGGTGGCTCAGTTGGTTAAGCGTCTGACTTCGGCTCAGGTCGTGATCTCCCGGTCTGGGAGTTTGAGCCCTGCATCAGGCTCTGTGCTGACAGCTCAGAGCCTGGAGCCTGCTTTGGATTCTGTGTCTCCCTCTCTCTCTGCCCCTCCCCTGCTCTCTCTCTCTCTCTCTCTCTCTCAAAGTAATAAAATAAAAAAACATTGAAAAAAAATTTAAAAACAGGTGGCAAGCTGGATTTGGCCGCCGGAACTTGGTTTGCTGACCCCTGTCCTGGAAGGCCAGTGCTGTGAGAAGCCCTGGGGTCACCTTTGTAGAAGGTCTCAAGTGGCTCTGTTCTTTGGGGGTATCTGATGGGGCAAGAAGGACCCCTGGACAAAAGAGGCCCAGTTCTTTATTCGACTTCACCTAGACCCATGTGGCATCTTTACCTGCTTGACACATAGTCTGGTTTCTACCTATAACTTCATTCGAAGGAAATGCTCTGTGGCAAAAAAGCATGGAGGTCACCGCTCTGGCCCATCCCCCTTTTTTACAAACAAGGAGAACCGAGTCTGACAGGAGAAAGCCCTGGCCCAGGTCTCAAGTTAAGCTGAAGGTACATCCCTAAGGCCAAGTTCTTTCCACCTGCCCCTAGCCCCCATGCGACCCCCTGAGGGGCGGGCACTTACCCCCTGGCAATCGTGGCCGCCCGGGAACCTCGGTGGCTCCTGGGACTGCGGTCACCTGCACCACATGGTCCTCGCTGGTGAAGGCGGTGAAGGCCAGGCCAGGCGTGGACTCCTCGGGGACACCCCAGGGCCTGGTGGCCTCTCCAGTCCTGTTCTCAGCCTCAGGGAAGGCAGTGGCCCCTACTTCGGGGACAAACGTGAAGGGCTCCTCGGGCTCCGGGATAGTGGGGGAGACTTCAAAGATGGGTTTCACAGTAAGGATCACGTTGCCTCGGGCTTCACCCTCGGTGATGTTTCGGGGCAGAGGCAGCTCCACATCAGGCCAGGTCACTGTCTGGATGGTGATGTCCTCCTCACCACCCACCCCGAAGAAGTTTTCTGGGATGTCCACAAAGTCTTCACCTGGGGCAGGGGGAAAGACCGGCTTTAGGGGCTCAGCCTGGGGCTGGCTTGAGGGAGACGGGCATCGGATCCACCGGCTTCCCCCACCAGGGGAGGAAAACTCACGGTGCCTCGGCACCTTGCCGGACCCTTTGCGGGCGGCTTCAACTCTGCGCGCGCTCATTCTAGGAGGCCTTTCCATGTTGCAAAAGAACGCAACATCATCATAGCACGAGATATTGACCAAGCAGCTCACCGCTCAGAAAACCAGTCCAGCTCCAGGATCTGTTCTTGATCAACACCCATTGCCTCCTTACCTATCGTCCAGGTGCCTTGTTGACCGTCTGACGTTGTAACTAGCCAATAGGACGTTGTAAATCAGTTACAAAGTGGAACTGGAAAACCTTGCCAAAGATGTGGGAGCTCACGAAACGGATAAAAGCGACATAAGGCACCTGTGTGTCTGTCGTGAGCAAACGAGGGTCTGGCAGAAACGACCAGCCCATAATTTAAGAAAGATGAAATCCACAAGGGTGCTACCACTTTGAAAAAGCTGCTAAGGATACTGAAAGGTTAAGAGAGGCTTTGGGGGAAATCCTCATTACTTTTGCAAAAATACCCATCTTCATGTAAGACCAGCTATGACGGTCAAACGTGAAGTGAGGTATGCCATCGCACTGTCATCAATTTTGTCATAAAGTGATGCAGCCCCATATTACTGGGGGTTTTTTCCCCCTCTAAGAATTAGCATGGGGTTGTGATTCTAACCTAGACTGTGTGGACTATAAGAGAAAAATCTCATTTTTAAAGGTTTTAGTCTAAATTTTCAAAATAAATTGCCTGTCAAACCTCTCCCCCCGCACTCTTTTTAAGTGTGCGTCTTTTAAAGCACATTTTAAGTGTGCGTCTTTAAAAAGCCCGTCTTTTGAAGCACATTTGATTTAAGAGGGTGGGTAACAGTGCCCGCCTGTGCGGCATGGTTCCAGGTCAGGGCCCCACCACCTTCCCCTCAGACAGATGGGGAAGGCGAGCCTTTCCCCGGCCTCACAGTAAACGTTGGCAGGGCTGTGATTCAAATCTGAGAAAGCGCAGACTCTAAAGCTCGTGCTTTTAACCCTATTCTGAGCCGACGATGAGACAGGGCTGGATGCTGGTGCCTACAGTGGTTCTACGTGACTCTTCCAGGAGCTAGTGAAAACGGGAGTTGCTGGGGCCCCTGGGTGGCTCAGTCGGTTAAGATTCCGACTTCAGCTCAGGTCAT